CAAACAAACTAGCCACTCGGTGCTGTTGTCATCGTCATTTGTTTTCGCGTTCAGTTCCAAACAAATATTCATACTGCACATTGTATGACATTGAAGTAAATGCTGAGAAATCATTTCGTCCAATTGTGCGTGAAATTACCTCGACATGAAATAATGTTTCAAAAGAAGTCGACGAAGAAGAAGAACGAAAAAAAAAACAAACAAATGGGTGAAATGCTTCTGTCGCTCGACTGGCTGTTTTCCGTTGGCAATCGTTAACACTTGAAACCATAATTATTACATTCGTCAAGCGCTTGTAAAACCATTTATGAGACTATAAAAACTAATTCTTACACTCACTCGCTACAGAGATTTGCTCGCTGCAAAAGACGAAAAACACTGGATTGTACACGAAAGATAACTGAGAGCTACTTTATCGCAGTGACACTTTGATTTTTGAAAATGACCAAGCGCAAAACGATCATAAAGTGCCAATTAAGCGCAGAAATGATCAACAAAAGACACTGCGAACCATGAAAAACAAAACACAAACACAAAACAACCGCATTTATTTTAAGTTCAGTGCATTGCATTTTAAAACGATCACAAAGACCTTTGATCATTTCAAAAGACATAATGAGAAGCCAATAAATCAATTATACGTAGACTGCTTATTAGTTGAAGTTTCATCGAGCCATTTTCACGAAACACAATGGAGAAGAGCGAGAAAAAAAAAGTTGCGTCAACGAGAGTGTGAAATGCAATCGATTTTCGATGCGTGTTGATCGCATTTATCATTCGATTGACTTCCACAATAAATCAAAGAAGTGGTCTTAGTCAATGGAGTCACTTTTTCCTCTCTGGCTACAGTTTGAGCTGCTCTGGTGGCACATCATCGTTTATTAAAACATTGAATTGAAAATCATGAATAATTAGGTTCATCGCAGAGACACACTACAGAAATTCGTCTTACAAACTGATGAAATATTCAAATTGCCTGAATGTATTTCTTATCAGGCCCAATAATTGATCAGAAGAAAACAAAAGATGTTCAATGTTTTTTTACTTGTTGATCGATAAATTGATAAGATCCATTTTGGCACAGAGTGAAGTTCCATTGAATTCTTTTTCTTCTAGCAAACAAAACTATTCTTCTCTCCTAAATTGCAACTGGCAAATGAACAAGATTATCCACTTACAGTAAATTACCTTCAAAGAAGCCTCTCCGTTTCTATTTCTAATTCTCTTTAGCTCAAATGCAGTCATCGATCGCATAACAAACGATCTGAAAACAATCAACATGTAGTAGCATCGTATGTACCAGCATCTGTAAGCAACTTATGATGCACTGCACTTGCTTGACCGGCTTTGATTATTATCTTAAAAAAAAAAACAACAACAACAAACAAGCTCACGCAAATTAAATAAACAATCATTTCCAATTTAATTGAAGCTAATTTAATTTCCATTTTTTTTCTTCTCTCTTCCCATTTTTTTTTGTTGGTCTTTCATTTCATTCTCTGGGCGCTCGACATTAAACAACATCTATTTCTCTTCCGGTGCGCTGCTCGTACTAATTGCTCAAACCGGGATACAAACACATGGACTTGTAAACACAATGGAAAAAAAAACTCCACAACATCTACGACACACAAACGAACGAAATGAAAAAAAAACAACCAAAAATGGAACCACTAACAAAACTTCATCGATTGGCCGAGTATAGCTGTGAGTATGACATTTAGACACAAAAAAAAAACTATTTAAATATTTTGTCCACATAGAAATACAATCGTAATAATTGACAAGTAGAAACAAAACATTTTCAAATCAAAACCATTACCAATGCTAGTTCCATTTTTGCGCATCATCATTTTGGTTTTCGAAACCACCAATCGTCTTGAACAAACCACGTAACATTTTCGTAATGCGAACCGCGAGAAAATGTAATCAGAAAATACAATTCAAATTCATTTGATATATCGACCGGTATGGTGTACTGCATGCCATTCCAAAAACAGAGAAATTAAAAAAAAAGCAGACCAACGAAAAACAATTATTCTAAGCACATAATAAACATTTAGCCAAAGAACGCATGGCTAATGGCCAAAATGCTTTCTTTTCAGCGGTGTTGGTTGAATCAATTCTTTTATTCTCACTATTCAATTGAAATAAATTCCAGGCGGTCAGTGTCAATACACTCCTAAAGAGAATAAAAACAATAGCAAAAGAATACAACACAGAAGAAAAAAAAATCGTGTCAATTTCATGTAATCATTCATTTCATTGTTTATTAAGTGCAAATTTAAATTATTACGGACCGACGGACCGTCCGACCGACTGGCCGAAACGAATGAGAAAGAATGAAAGAGTTGAAAAACGGAAATCTGCATGTGATTCTCATTCGAGAGTCGAAACACAAATCACATTTGGACGCAATGCAAGAACACAAAAACAACACTGACATTCTTCCATGAACACACCGCATGAACATAAAACAAAATATGATCGGGAAGAAAGAAAAAAAAAAGCGAAATAGGCGCGCATATATATACACGCCAATCGAAACGGCATATCCATTGTTGTTAACATGTACATTTTTTTTATCGTTCATTTCATTTACGTATTCTCAATTAATGGCATCATTGCCATGTTGCATATTAATTGATCGGCTATTAATTAGGCTAGTTGCTGTAGCATTTAGAAATTACTAACAAATACACACTGACGGCAGGAATAGAATCGATATGATAAAAAAAAGCCGGCCAGAGCATTACATTTCTTTTGAATCAATATCATATACCGAAATGGATAGTTTATTGTACTATTATATAGACAATGTAACGGTGCATGTCAAACAAGTATTCTGTAAAAACGATAAAAAAAATGAAATTGCATGAAAGGAAAAAAAACTCATTATATAAATAATACGGTTCAGTAGACATCGATTTAGTCATTAATATTTGATCACATTTCAACATACTCTGTCGATGACACATTTTGCTGTAAAGTGAATTTGGTCGTATTTCTTCTTTCTGGTGGTGGTATAGTCATTAGTTAACGGTGCAGTTTGCTAACAGATTTTAATTTATCGGCACAGAGGCATTTACATTTTAATTGATGTTCATTGTGCGCCGAATAATCATGTAATGGAATTGAGTTAAAAGCAAATGTTATATACATTCTTTTAGACATTTTCTTCTCGTGATTGCAAAAGAAAATTCATTGAATCGATAGCTTCCGTTTTACATTATCTTCATTGGCAACGAATTTTTGAGAGACATTATCATTATGATAAGATATACGGCTGACAATTGTTATCTTTTGGGCAAAAACAATTCATTCGATATATCATATTCATCTAGCCATTTGTATCGCTGGTAATCATGTAAGTGAATTTGCAAAGCATGTCAGACAATCGCTTTGTGCGGTATCATTGTTGATGCTTGGTGCTTTTGTTGGCGCAGGCATTGGATACGATTTGCTGTATGTTATGAGTGCATTTGCTACATCGGTACAATGTTTAACTTCGATGAGGGTCGATCTACTCTATTAAACGGGCCCACCAATTTTATCGCTCAAATACATAGCTACGATCTTTCACTCACAAATCAAAAAATGTTTCCCCTTAGGCGTGGTCGCCTCATTACTTGGTTACGGAAAACCAACAGACAGATGAAAATGAAAGTGTGGTTACATGTTCTAGACGCTGCGTTCTGGTGTTGTGAGTAGAAAAGCGATGCATGCCTCACCAATGAAAAAAGAATAAATCTTTCGACAAATATCGATTCATCGTTGCATAAAGAGAGAGAGAGAGAGAGAGAGAGAGAGAGAGAGAGAAGAGAGAGAGAGAGAGAGAGAGAGAGAGAGAGAGAGAGAGAGAGAGAGAGAGAGAGAGAGAGAGAGAGAGAGATAGAACGTAAATATAAACATGATTTTCCCGATTGAGTGCGTTTTGTTGTGAAGCATCCTCGTCGCATTTCACTCGAATATGATGTGAGAGTGTGTGTGTGTGTGTGCGTGAATGTGACACAAACATACACAAATATGTATATAACTGGATGGGTAAAAATAGCAAGGACATCTGTGTTGTACGTAGTGGGTGTGTTGAAGATTTGTAATCGGTATTCCATTCGAATCCATTTATACCAACCATAATCCAGACCAATATTTGAAATTTCCATCGAATACTCGGCGAAACACATTCATTTGCATCATTGAAAATGCAGTTAGATTTCATAAATTAGCCAATGAAAAATCATTTGCGTTTGTCGAAATCATCCGTCGCCAATGTGAGAGATAAAGAGAGAGAGATAAAGAGAGAGAGAGAGAGA